TGACTCAGTACTTAAGAGCACTGGCTTCTCTTTCAGAGGACACAGATTCCATTCCCAGCACCCACTTGGCAGCTCACAGCTTCTGTAACTCCAGTTCCAGGGGAGCTGACACCCTCACACAGACATACATGCAGGGGCAAAGTACCAATGATCAAAATTTGACGAAATTAATAGATAAAATAGCAAAGATCTCTGAGAGACATCTTCTCTGGGTCTTGTAGCTTAATATTTTAATCTAAAACATCTGACTTAAATTTTCTCTAGAGACAAACATTGTTTCCTCACGTTAAGAATATTTTCCTGATATAGACCCAGAAAGTTGTACTGGTGGCCACAGTGGTAGGCAATGAATGTTTGGCTCATTTATTTCCCTTCTAAAACATATATTTATTTTCTATGTCTTTCAAAGTTCAGGAGTGTGGACAGATTAGCCTTGCTTTATGAGCTCTGAACACAGGTTTTTAGCAAAAATGCCTTATCAATAGAGTGACAGGGATTTAAGAAATAAAGAATAGACTAGTCGCAAAAAGAAAATTGCCCTAACATGAAGGTAAAGTTTAATTAGGGAAGCTCAGCAGTGCCCTGGTTCATAAAACTCATTTTATTAAATTTATGTCCCATGTTTTCACCGCAGCATATTGCTTTCTGCACTTAAATCCAGGCATGAGGATATGAAATAATTTTCCACTTTGCCATTGGCTTCAGGGACAGGGTCCTGATGCCATCAGAGTCTTTGGTCTTCCTGCCCTTTTGTGCCTTATTCAAAAGTTTCAGCAAATTTGACCTCTCAGAAGAGACAATTTCCTGTTAGCTTTATACTGTGAATTTTCTGTTTGCATGTCAGGGCTCCATTCAGAGGTAGGATGGTACAGAACAGAGCGTAGGTGCCAAAGCAATATCAAGCAGAATTTTGCTGCCTGCATATTTTACAACAGGACAATTTCCTCATTTGAGCCTTAGCATCCAAGTCTTATTTGGGGGTTGAAGTTCCATTTTGAAGTGACTTTCTTATAAAGCACTATCTATGAGTCTACTGTCTGGCTAATTCTATAAAATGTCTTGGTCTCCTCCATTAAATCATGGTATTGAAGGGGGGTGAAGAATAAAATAACAGGAAGAAACAGCATATTTCAGAAGTGTTAATTACCTTGTAGGCAGGGCAGCTGTCCACACTGATAGCATCCAGGTATATGCTTAGCTCTCCTCCCTTCCATTTGTAGTGGCTCAGCCAGAAAAGAAAATAATTATGTTATTCAAATTTATCCTGTTTGAGAATGTTCTTGTTTAGGATCTCACCATGTAGTCCTAACTGTCCTGGGACTCACTTTGTAGATCAGGTTGGCCTAGAACTCACAGAGATCCATCTGCCTCTGCTGGGATAAAAGTCTGTGCCACCATTCTGGGCCCCTCCCACCTTTTTTATCTTCCTCCCTCCAGTGTCACCCACCCCCCAAAATCCTTTTCCTATATTCTCTTCTGGTTTGCTTGCTTTGTTTTGTTATACATACACAAGACCATCTATATGACCATAAATTTGGAACGACTCATGGGAGCCTGGTGGGCTCACCAGCGGGTATACAACTACAGACGATGGTAGCTGCAGCCTCAGTCTATCAGTATCAGGGAAGGGTAGAAACATATAAGGCCTCCAGGTTCATGGCTGTTGACAGGGTCAGTCTTGTGCGAGCCCACTGTGGGTAACCATAGTGGCCGTGAGTTCATGATTGCAATGACTCTGCCATGTCCAGAAGATGGTACTTTTCAGCCCTCCCGTCCTCAGGCTCTTAATGTTCTTTCCAACTCTTCTTCCTTGGTGATGTTCCCTGAGCCTTAAAGAGAACTGATGAGACCTTGTCTTTAGAAGAAGAAGGATAAAGCCAGGAGATGGTGGTGCACACCTTTAATCCCAGTCCTCGGAAGGCAGAGGCAGGTGGATCTCTGTGAGTTCGAGGCCAACCTGGTCTACAAGAGCTAGTTTCAGGACAGACTCCAAAGCTACAGAGAAACCCTGTCTCTAAAGAAGAAGGATATTAATAATCCCCCAGGGAAGTGGTGGTATATGGCTCCAATCCCAGAACTAGGGAGGCAGAGGCAGCTGGGTCTCTAAGTTTGAGTCCAGTGGGTTTACAAAATGAGTTTCAGGACTACACAGAGAAACCCTGTCTTGAAAAGAAAAAAATAAGAAAGAGAAAAGAAGACAGGAAACAAATGATATTAGGCTCTTAGACACAGTCAGGGGGTGTAAAAGATGCTTGTGTGTACAGTGGTGTTGGCGGGGTTTGTTGGCAGGGCACAGTTTTAGACAATGTGAAGGGATGCACTGGATCATTTGTTGTCGACTTGACACAAGCTGGAGCGATTGGAGAGTGGGGAGCCTTGACTGGGAGCATGCCTTTGTAAGAAGTGACTATAAGAAAACCTGTAAGGAATTTTTTAAATTAGTGATTGATGGGTGAGGGTCTGGCCGATTGTGGATGGTTCAATTTCTGTTCTGGTGGTTCCAGATTCAATAAAAAAGCAGGCTGAGGAAGTCATGTGAGCAAGCCAGTAAGCAGCACAACCTCCATGGTCTCTGCATCAGCTCTGCCTCCAGGTTCCAGCACTGCTTGAATTCCTGTCCTTACTTCCTTTGATAACAAATTGTGATGTTGGACGTATAAGCCAAATAAACCCTTTCCTCCCCAACTTGTTTTTGGCCTTGGTGTGTCATCTCAGCAATAGAAACCCAAATAAGATAACATCCCAGGATGGAGTGGGTGGGAGGGCCCTGGAGCCAGAGCACAGTCAGTGGAGAAGAAAGGAGTCCAGGCTATAGTAGGGACTGTTGAGTGACTCTGAGCCAGGTGGACCCACAGTGACAGGCTCTTTTGTTGAGACAGTCAGGCATGGACAGGAAAGGGAAGAGCGTTATGAAGCTTTGGGGTGGTTCGGTCAAGAAACCTGATGGCTTGAAGAAGGTTATGATGGCAGGATGCTGAGAAGTGGTCTGTACATTTTTTTTGAGTAAAAATAAGCAAGATTCACAGATGAACTAGATGTGGTTCTCAGGACAAAAGGATCAGAGGGTGATATCCTCTACTTTTATGAACACTCAGGAATGTCAAATTATAAATGAAGGGAGTGGGAAACTCAAGAATCCGGGACGAGGGAGCTACGTGCACACGGATGAGCAAGAGTAGGGCAAGGCACACACATGAAGGGTGGAATCCTGGGTTGTCTGGCATATAACACACATGAGATGCCCGTCATTCCTACGTATGGTGTTAAAGAAGGAAGTTGATCATATGTGTTTAGAGTTCTAAATGGAAGTGTAAAATATAGATCAACATTTGGAGACATCTCAGGTAGATTGCATTTAAGGTCAAATAATAGAATTAGTTTATCCAGCCAGGGGGTGGTCACGTAAGTCTTTAATCCCAGCACTCAGTAGGCAGAGGCAGGTGGATCTCAGTGAGTTCGATGCCAGCCTGGTCTACAAAGCGAGTTCCAGGATAACCAGTTACACAGAGAAACTTTGTCTCGAAAACAAAACAAACAAAAAAGAATTAGATTATCCATAGAATAAACATATAAAGGAAAGATTTGATTACTGAATATGTAAAGGCTGTGGAATGTGGACAGCAGGAACTAGCAAGGATATGACAGGATGAAACCAGGGAGACCAAAAGGAGTCAAGAAAAGGAAGTATTTTAGGAAGGTGGGAATAACCAGTTGAGACACAGGCTGCTTGTAATGGAGGAGATAAGACGTGGATGCTACCATTAGTATCCACAGAGGACACAAGCTTCACTGGAACTGATTCTGGAACTCTTGGGGGGCAGGGAGTGCAGACAGTAAGTGCAGCCCACAACTCTGAAGGTTTTTGTTATGAAAGAAAGCAGAAAAATGGTATAGCACTTAGAAAGTATATTCAGCCAAGTGTAGACAGAATGTTCTTGTAGTAGATGGGGAGAGGGGAAGACAGGGCTGTTGTATACATGGAACGTCATAGCAAGATTCCATTTCTCCTCAAAGGAGCAGAGAGTTTGTTCAGTGTAACAGTAGAGAAGGAAAGACAAGCAGCAGCCTGGGGACTGACTGCGTGTATGCTCAGGGAGGGAGTGGGGGTGCTCCGTCTAAGTGCTTCTGTCTGCGTGAACCCAAGAGTTAGGTCCTTGTGGAGGGACTGGAAAGAGTTAGAGAGAAGACAAAGACATAGAAGGAAAAGAGGAGCAGGAGGAGGAACAGCAAGAGGAGGAGGAGAAAGAAAAAGAGAGAAAGAAAGAAAGAAAGAAAGGAGAGAGGTGGGGAGAAAGAGAGAGAGCTGGGTACAAGGGTAGGTACAAAATACTTCTGGAAGAGAAGAGAGGAGAGTGCCCAGCATAGCACAATCCCCTGTCCATAACCAGACTCTACTTACTTGTTTACTTGTGTCAGTAAATAAAGGGTAGATTTTCTTTCGGCAAATTTCAACAATTCAGGTGCAGATGGGGAGGGGTGGGAGTTTTGATTTAACTGGAAACAACTAAGTTTCAGGGTGAGAGAGAAGAACTGAGTCGGGAGACATTGCAGTGATCATTGTATCTATCTGTAGAGATTAGATAGAACATTAACTGTGGGCAGGGGCGAATGGCAGGTTGGTAGGTAAGTGCTCCTCCTATGTAATTAGAGTGAGCTGGAGCCATGGGAGGCGGTGGGAGTGTATGGACCTGAAATTGAAATTATGAAGAAGGTGTGACCATGAATAATGACAAGGCCTAAGGTATGACTGTAAGAACAGGTTAGGATGTCGTGATAAGCAAGATCACAAGAGGAGCGGACATCAGCAGCCTGAGACATGAGATTACTGCGAGGATCCTCTCGGCATGCTGAAACCGCCGATCATTAGATCAGCGCTGGAGAGACTGACTGCAGACTGGGCTTGGCCAAGGAAGGAGTAAGAGGTGACTATGATGTCAGTAGATGGTTGATAGTGGAGGGCAAGTGGCGTGGACACGGAAAGGCTCCCGAGCAAGCACGCGAAGGAGCGAGGTGGTGACTGGCAGCAAATAGCACGGCTGCAAGACTGAGTCTCCTTCAAAGAGATACAATGGGAGAATGTTCCGGAGTTCACAGTGTGGCATCTGCATGGTGCGGAAAGCCTTGAGACTGGATCAGGTAAAGGACACAAGATCTATGCGGGGATGTGACTTACAGCAAGAGCGGGGACCTCAGCTCCTCTTGGCGTCTGAGATGGGGTAGGAATCTTTTCACTGAGGAGAAATTCCCGAGACAGATTGCTGGATTTTGAGGCCGGAGTGAGAGAACTTGGCTTGTGCATAGGCTAAAGCAGCTTTCGTGACCTAAAAGAGCCTGGCCAATAGGTGGTGGTGTTGGCCCAGCACAGTCTGGTTGCTGTTTGCTGCTCCAAAGGGGCCAGAGGAGGTCCCAGATTGAGGGGGGGGAGGCCCTCCTCTTGGTAAAAGGGAAAGAATAATGGTAGATTTAAGAGGTCTCACTTTCTGAATAAATCTTCTGTTTTTAAAAAAGATTTATTTGGGGGACTGGAGAGATGGCTCAGAGTTTAAGAGCACCGCTGCTCTTCCAGAGGTCCTGAGTTCAATTCCCAGTACCCACATGGTGGCTCACAACCATCTGTAATGAGATCCCGTGTCCTCTTCTGGTGTGCAGACATACGTGCAGGGTGATCACTATATTCATAACAAACAAATCTTTTTTAAATTTATTTAATTTTCTTTTTGTGTATGTGTAAGTGACTGTATGTATACATCCCTCATTTATAGGCCTGGAGCCCCTGAAAGCCAGGAGAGGGCATCTTGTCCCCTGGAACTGGAGTTACAGGCAGTTGTCAGCTGCCGCTTGGGTGGTGAGAACCCAACCTATATCCTTTACAAGAGCAATAAGTGCTCTCAACCATTGCACCGTCTCTTCAGCACCCCACCACTTAATAAATCTTTTTTAGGATAGCAGTCACACATTCTCAGAAAGTTTTCTAGTATTTTGAAATATTTGAGCATAGAGATAACTAAGCAAACCTACAAAATACAAAGAACAGAGCTTTCCTTTTTATTTTCTTCTTTTCTTTCTTTCTTCCTCCCTCCCTCCCTTCCTCCCTTTCTTTCTTTCTTTCTTTTTGTGTATTTTTAAAAGCAGAGACGAAGAAGAAACCATGAGGGGGACCTGCAGGCTACTTGGGATGATTCAGATGTTGAGCTGGTGGAACTGATTTTATTTGGGCTTGGAAACCACCCTGTGTACAACAAATGAAGACACTAGAAGTGACTGACATGAACTGGGGAGCTGACTCAGCAGGTAAGAGCACTGAGCACTCTGCAGACCTGTGTTGGGTTCCCAGCATCCTCATGGTGGCTCATAGTCACTCACACCTCCGGTCCAGGGGACCCAGTACCTCTTTCAGGCCTTCACAGCACTGGGCACATGCACATAGGCAGGCAAACACTCATCCAAAAATAATAAATGGATCTTTTCAAAGTCACTGACTATATCCTCATCTGAAAGAGAATACTCTGAAAAGCATACTTCATTCTGTTTGCTATAAAAGCGTGTGAATAAGAGCAAACCTCTCTCTTTTCTGCTGTTTGCTTTAGGATTTGGAAGACTGAGCTTAGGTGGCTGAAGTCACAGTGGCTTCCTTTCCAGGAGAACCCGCTGAAAGATGTGGAGACTTCTTAGACTCCATGAGCTCTGAGCTGTCCATCATCAGAAACGCAAAGGCAAGGGCGGGGGGAAATACCCAGATAAATGGATCAACATTTCAATTCTATGTTCTCGACATAGAGATACCGAGCTGGCGGGTTCCCCTTCACCTCTCAGCAGGAGCAACCCTGGCTCA